GCAGTTTTTAGTGATTCTGGAAACACACCTGATAATAAAGAAAAGTTGACGATCTGTAACAGGTCTGACTCTAAAGTCTTTGAGACCTTTTTGAAAAAACTTGTTGGCAGGACATCTAAACAGCAGGAGGAGGAGTTCAGTTGACCTAAGATGTCCTCCAGGTCTTTGCTGTTAATAGGGTGAAACTGTTTCATGGTGTTTAAACAGTTTTTTGGTGGACACAGTACATATCCTGGATCTGCTGTTGATGTACCAATTGCTTGTCTAATTTTTTGGATTTTTTCAGTGAAGAATTTGGCAAAGTCATTGCAGGCCATGGTCGAATGAAGTTCAGCTGCCACTGACACAGGAGGGTTTGTTAGCCTGTCAACTGTAGAAAATAAGACCCGAGCATTATGGCTGTTTTTAGTGATGATGTCAGAGAAGTAGGACCTCCTTTCATTCCTCAGTTGTAAATTATAATTGTGAAGTTTCTCTTTATAAATGTCATAATGAACCTGGAGGTTTGTTTTTCTCCATCTGCGCTCAGCTTTCCTACACTCTCTTTTTTTCATTTTTCACCAGTGTGGAGTTTCTTCATGGAGACTTTTTCCTTCCAGAGATAACCTTCACCTTAATGGGAGCAATAGTGTCCATTACATTTAACATGTTAGCATTGAAGCTATTGACGAGCTCATTGACTGACCCTCTGGGCAGGTCAGGTGTTAATGGGAAGACCTGGTTAAAAATTGCACTACTGTGTTCAGTTATACACCGTTTTGTGATCACTGTTGTTGATATATTTGTGTGGGCTGAGATTTTACTTTCAAAGAAAACACAGTAATGATCAGACAGGCCCACATCAGACACAGTAACCTTTGAAATGCTCAGGCCTTTGGAGATCAGTAGGTCAAGAGTGTGTCCTCTATTATGTGTGGCCTCTGTTACATGCTGAGTCAGCCCAAAGTTGCCCAGAGTGTTACTCAGGTCTTTAGTCCCTTTGTCCTGAGGGTTGTCCACATGAATGTTAAAATCCCCAGCAATAATTACACAGTCAAAATCAACACAGATCACAGACAGCAGTTCACTGAGGTCATTAAAAAAGTCTGTGCAGTATTTGGGAGGCCTGTAAACATTAAGAAACACAACTTTGGATGGGGCCTTCAGCTGTAAAGCCACATATTCAAAAGACTGAAAACTTCCAGGAGATAGCTGCTTACATTGAAATGATTCATTAAATAAGACAGCAACCCCCCCTCCTCTCCTGCTCGCCCTGGCCTCACTGATAAAACTGTAGTTAGGAGGGGTCGTCTCGATGAGAACAGCTCCACTGTTACTTTGGTCCAACCAAGTTTCAGTTAAAAACATAAAATCAAGGCTGTGCTCAGTGATTAAATCATTAATTAAAAATGTTTTCCCAGCTAGAGATCTAATGTTTAATAAAGCCAACTTAAGTGTTTTAGAGGTATTACTTGTCCCCTCGTGTTTGGGAGCAGTCTGTGGCACACAAGGTATGTTTACTATGTTTAAAGATCTTTTAGAGTGCAGCTCTCTGTGTTTTGACCAGGCCACATGTCTCCTTCTGTCACCTAAAAGTACAGAGATTTTAAAACCTTCTAGTAAACAGGGTCCCAGCTTCTCCTGGGAAAAGTCATCACTGCCATAATCCTCACAGCCCGGACCCTTCACACATCACGCATCAGACTGCGGAGACAGAGCATGAAGGTGGTAAGGAGGAACTAAGGGGGGCGAGGCTGGGCAATGTGACTTCGATTGCTCTGTTGAGGGTGGGGCTCGATGGCGAACCTTTGGCCGCTCTGGTGGGGGGTTTATGGGGGACAAAAAGGGATTGGGACGGGGGGTAGATCTGAGCCCAGCATTGACCCGCTCCATCATCTCCTCAGTGAATTTCAGGTGTGGGGAGGAGGGAGAAAGGGAGGGGGAGGAGGGTGATGGTCTGTCAGGGGTTTGGGGGACTGGGGAAGGTCGTGGTCCCTTGTCCTGGTCGTTGGTGTTGTTGAGAGAGTTGGAGGCAAATAGGGACCCCTCTTCTTGCCTTAGATGTCTCTCCTTTCTGAGGCTCTTCCTCAGATGCCATGGATGTCTCTCCTTTCTGAGGCTCTTCCCGGGTGGGGGCAAATGGAGCTCCTCCTCAAGGTTTCTGCTGGGCTTTGTCTGTTCTTGGAGTACTGTTTGTTCCTCTTTATGAGATAACTCCTCGTTTATCTCAGCCTTGGCACCAAGCACAGATGGATGACGTATGGAATAAAACAAGTTGGAGGTGAACAGTTTCACCCCTGACTTGTTAAAATTAAATCCATTTGCTTTGAACAGATGCCTGCGTTCCCAAAAAATATTAAAGTTGTCGATAAAGTGCACTGAGTGGTCAGCACATGCTGATATAAGCCATTTATTCAGTGTAAACAACCTGCTGAATCTCTCGTCTCCTCCTCTGACCGGCGGTACAGGTCCACTGATGAATACAGCTGCATTCAGAGAGTTTACAGTATTTAATAATCCAGTAAAGTCCCGTTTCAGAACCTCCGACTGTTGTTTGGACACATCGTTTGACCCTGTATGCAGAACAATGTTTGTCACAGTTGGATATTCATCTGCAATTTGAAGAATTCTCTCCTTCAGGTTGTTGACCATATCGTTAGGAAAGCAGAGGACTTTAGTGTTCTTACCACACATCCTTTGTACATCCTTTACGGCAGAGTCACCCACAGAGTTTCAGGCCTAGCCTTTAGCTTTCCCTGTGGCCTTTCACTTTTCAACAGATTTTCAGACCTTATTTCGCTGCTTTTAGATGGATGGTTGTCCGATATAGATCCAGGGTCCTTTGATAGTGGAGCAAATCTGTTCTGCAGTTTCACATTCAGTTGTTTTGGAGGTTTGTTGTTAACCTTCCTATTCACGGTTGTCCAGTCCTGTTTCCTCCCGTATACAGGGGTAGAAGAGCTTCTCTGTCTCGTAGGAAGTGAAGGCCAGTCGGTTTCAGAGATTTCAGCTCGCTGTGCCCTGCCTGTGATACGTCCTCCCCCTTCCAGGAGACATGATTTATGTCTTGGTTTTGCACCAAGACAGTCTAAGGGGGGATTATCACTTGAGGATTTATAATAATGCACAGAGTCTACTTTCTTGGTCATGTTATCTGTGCTCCTTAGCTGTGTACTAGCTTGCTCATCGCCATTGTTTTGAATCAAAGGCAAGGTTGTTTCATTTCCACACAGTCCATTTACCTCCACGTTTACTTCTAAGCGATGAATTTTTGTCTCCAGTACTGCAATCTTCTGCAGGAGGCTGTGGTAGTCATCTGTGGAGAGGGAAGGCATCTTGTTGCTAGTTAGCCTAGCGGTTAGCACCTTTCCAGGCTATTGAGGCTGCTCGGTGCCCAGACGCTGTAATCAGGCTTCAGCTGTGTCTAGGCCACAGACACACGGAGCGCTGAGGATAAGGTAACCATAAAATGTTGCTGTTTCTGTTAAGAACACTCTAGTCCTAATGATCTACAAGTGTCCAGAAGTTATCGCAGGTAAGCTCACACGGAAAAAAGGGAAAAAATCAGCATAAAAATCAATAAAAATCAATATAAGAAGCAAAGCATTCAAGAGCAAAGAGATGAAGCGTCCACACTCACAAAGGGGAGGAGCAAGACGAACTGCCAACTCTTGAGCCACGATCGCCCTAAGTAGGAGGATGTATAGAATACCGCAGAGCAACTGGACAAATATATATGACTCTGATCCTCCATCGCCATGTTTTTTTTTGTTTTATGCAGTTTTATGCAAGCATCTTATTGATTTATCATTATTTAGTTCAGTTAGTGGCCTTCCTTCCTGAGAAGTTAACTTTCAAAGAATAATTAACTTTCACAATGCAATTAAAAAAAATCGCCAACAAGAACTGAACCTCTTTGCACTTGATTAGTCACAGTGTATCAGCAGTTGGCAAAACCCAACAAGACATAAGATACAATTTAAAGAACGTCTTTTGGGTTTTGTCCTGATAGCTCCCCTAAAGCTATGCTAATTTTAACTATTATTTTATTTTTATTATTAATATTTTTCTGTTACTGTCAGTCATTTTCTGTTACCCCTCTGAAATGTTGTAAAGACAGTGAGACATTATCTCTGTAGTTTTTATATCAATATTTCCATTTAAACAGAGCGGTGAAAATCTGCACAAATATAAGGACGTGAGCTGGAGGAGAAAATGAACGGTAAAATTAATAACAATAAACCCTTTTGGTCGCAAAATATGAAAAATATCATGAAAATACACATGCACAAAAACAAACAAAATGCTCCTCTACAGCAAAATAATCTTTAAAAACACAATGTTTTTTTTTCATTTCCAAATCACATCTCCAGTTATTCCAAATGACAGTGAACATCTCACTTTGCCACCTTCCTAAACGAAAATCTGAGATTGATGAGAAATAAAGGTCATTAAGTGACATGGATGAGGGCACAGTCAGAAAAGCTTTTCATCTAATTACACTTTATATTTAGGCACAAATGTAGTGATAGGAGAAAAATTGCACTAGTATAAGGTCAGTAATGATGTGCACACTGTGCAGCCCATTTCGATTTTTACAAGTACTGCATGAATGTAATAATTTATCATGTTTACTTCTGCAAAATTCTGCAAATGAGTGAAATTAAAGGGAATTTATTACTAACCTGAACATATTTCTAAACAACTAAAAACAACCTGCTAAAGTTCGTATGCTGCTACATTAGGACACTCAGCAACAAGATTTTGTGAGTGTCATAATGAAACTGTGAAGGTTGAACAATTTGTTGCATTTTGAAGTTAATTTTCAACATGATCAGTAATCTCAGTGTACTTAATATTGTAAACTACAGACTATACAACACTGCAGATTGAAATCCCAGCAGTGTAATGATCCCATATGAGGAGCATTGCAATGGTCTACCTTTCGTAGACCATTGCAATGACAGCTGGGATGAGGTAGGAAAAGAAGATTAAAAACAAAGCAGAGGAAAACAACTCACCTGTAGCCATGCTGAGTGTCCACGCACACTCCACCGTTGTAGCAGGGGTTTCTGGGATATGTGGCACAAGGCTGATGGGACTGTTCTCTGCCTGGGCAGGAGCACACCGCTGTGGATTCAACTGTCACAGACACAAGACTCATAGTCCCACAATCCACCACTGTGGGCGTGTCCCGCACGTTCAAAGTGTTGGAGCAGCCACCTGTCCCGCCACACTCGGAGCTGGGACACTCATCCACCCGGACCTGGAACACGCTGACCTGCAGGAAAGACTGGAGCTGGATGGAAAGAGAAAAAGAGAGCACTTATCAGGCAGACTGTCATGTCACGGTAAAGATAAGATAAGATAAGATAAGATAGAACTTTATTAATCCCTCGGGTGGGTTCCTCTGGGAAATTCGATTTCCAAAAAAGCACAGCACCGACAGAAGTTACAGAGTTATACACACACACATATATATAAATACAGAGACAATATAAATAAAATATACAAAGGGGATAAATAGAATAAATAGGAATAAAAATAAAAATACAAGTGAATTGCACATTTCAAGTATTGAGTCTATTGCACCGTTGACTATTTACAAAAGTATTGCACAAAAGGTATTGCACAGTGAGGTGAAGAGGCACTACAGCTTAGTTGTTCCCCCCTCCTTTGTCCTCCTGTTTCCCCTCCCTCTCCCCTCCAGAGAGGAGTTAAACAGTCTGATGGCGTGTGGGACAAAGGAGTTTTTAAGTCTGTTAGTTCTTGTCTTTGGGAGAAGCAACCTGTCACTGAACAGACTCTTCTGGTTGTTAATGGCCGTGTGCAGAGGATGCCCAGCATTGTCCATAATGTCCATCAGTTTCTTTAATGTCCTTTTCTCTGCCACTGTCACCAGAGTGTCCAGCTTCATGCCGACCACAGAGCTAGCCCTCCTGATCAGTTTCTCCAGCCTGGATGAGTCCTTCTTTAAAAGCACAGGGTAAAATTTTAGTCGAACTTTTATCTCTCCAAGCACAGCAGGCATCGTAATGGTATGGATTTTTTTTGGACATCTACTTCTGAGTCTGTAAATAGCACAACAGGGTGCATTTCCCTTTGCACAGACATGAACTGGTAGGAGATGCTTTAGAGAGGCAACAAAACCTCACCCACTTCCCGCACATAAACAGTGCCGACTGGGCTGAATCAATGGACAAAGACGAGTAACATGGACCTTTGTCTGGTAATGAACCCAGACCTCTGCACTTTGCCATCTACGATGTAACACAAAAACATTAACAGCTACATACTGAAACACCACTTGGTCTCTTTAATAGTTCCTCACAGAATATGCCTACTTTTCTGAGAATATGCTTGCACTTTCTGCACACCCATCCAAGCGCTTAAATTGTATGGTAAGTACTGACAGTGTTGACAGCTTTCACAATGAAGCAGCTGCAGCCACGATCACATCAGTCACACTCAAGAATAACATGTGGCTGAGGTCAGGTTTGACTAAATCCTTTGAGTGTGTGTGTGGGATAATGTTGGCCTGACTTTTGTATAAAGTGAGCTATTTATAATTTGAAGTAAAGTTTAAAGTTAGTTTGACAAACTTTAGCTCTCAGTACAACTTACTATTATGTAGGTGAGAAGTAATTAAAGTAATTACACGGGTAAATGTAACCCAAGTTTAGTCGTTAGATGTCAGCCCAAATCGGGAAGCAAAATCTGTGTAACACCAGATGAGTGAAGGGGTCTCATACATTCAGCTGCACCCTGATTACCTGATAATCTACTTTGATTGACAGCTAGATATATTTGTGGAGCTGTGTGCCAATTTAAATAAAAAACATCAAGAATGTAAAAACTGATTTCCTTGGAAACAGATGAGTAAAATTAAGCTTATCTGTTATGCCACGCTGGCTGCAAATCCCTCGACTTGCAAGCGAAAATGAACTGATTCCAAACCAGCTTTAACGTTAAAGTGTTTGGACTCTTTTGCCATAACCGATCGAATTATGCTGCAGCCTGTGTACCCGTTAAAGTATTTCAATGTGTATTATGTTTACTGTCTAGACCAAAAAGTCCTGATTGAATCTTTTCAGTGAAATAATTGTAGTTGTATATAATTTTCTGATCAAGTTATTTTTTTCATTTTCATGTAGATGTAAGTTGGACATCTGATGTCTGACTGGATGCACAACCAGTTGGGAACAATGTTGATAAGAGCAAACTCGGTGTGTGAATGTGTTCGGATTACCGAAGGCTGTTCAAGTAATTGAGTTATTTTTCTGCGCTGGCTCCTGGAAAAGTGGGCTAAACGGTGATGAAGCAGAGGGGAAACTATGACTCTCCAGGTTGAGCAATTTGATAAAGTGATGTGAAAGAAAATTAAATGGAAACTGTATGTTGTTTGTATGCTTTTGGATGAGTCGACTTTCACTGGTAAAGCTGACAAAGGTCAACTGAGTTTGTGCACACATTTGTGTGCTCATGAAGAGGGGCGAGCACACACATACAGACATACTGGGGGTAGATGGTACTGAATATGAACGCGGGTCGCTTTATGCTCAATATTCCAGGCAGGCTGGACTTTAGTCAGTGTGAATCGATTGCACTGATTAACCAGGCGGTGCTGCAGGGACTGTAACTTTGATAAGGATTTTGTTTTATGGATCAGTTATACTTCTGACTGATGTCTCATAACATCTGACGTCATTAGCAGTAATGTCCTCCCATTCAAAACTCGCTTCTTTCATTTAAACTACCTGTGTCATTAATTTTTGTACTTCATAGCAACTCAGACACAAATGCTTCTCTTCATTGGTTTCTCTCATCTAATGCTGCTGAAGGTATATGCATTCTTACAGCAAATTAATTTGAAAGGAGGTTGGCTGCATGAGAGCTCAATAAAAGGGGCCTATAGATGATCACACACATATCCCATGAATCCCATTTCCTGTGCCCTTGGTCTGTGTCACTGTGCACTGTATCATGACAGACTATTAGCCAAACATGTTTGGCAACCCTATCTATCTGCCAGGAAATCATATAAGAAATGTAATTTCTATATACAAAATTTGCAAAAGCTCATTTGGTTTGCAGGAAACATTATGCAGGTTTTTTAATCAACATGAGGAAATGTTTTTAATTAACCTGTTGGCATGTAGCAAATATATTAAAGCTGAACTTATCAATGGTTCCAGTGTTGTTTTCCTCCAGGCACACTCTCAAATTTTAAGTGTACATATCCATTTGTATGTTTATGTTGAGCGATGTGCAGCACCTTGTTAAGGCTAAATAAAAATAGCAGCCTGGCTTTAAAGGAAAACTTTCGAGTGAATATATCTGAAACACAGCATGCAACTCGGATTGAACAAAACGGCATCTGCTGTGTACTGTGTACCATTGTGACATCGTAATGGAATCCAGCAGGGGCGAACGTTTTTGAGTGTAGCTGCTAAAAAGTTCTAATTGTCTTGAATATTTGCTGGAACTGGAGGGCAAACGTCATCCTTTGCAGTAGACTGAAACGTGACCTGCATAAGAGAACTACATGTGCTGGTTTCTACAGCTTAGATGTTCAAACATTTTTACAAACGGTTAAGATGACATGGTTTGAACTTGGTGGAGAGCGGTATAAATGGAGGTGCGAGACAGAGACTGTATGTTTGTATGTATTCAGTTTAGCAAAAGTGTTTGCGACACACTGAGCACATAAATCAAATTGTGAGAGGCAGACTATGCCGCAGGGAAAGGAGAGAAAGGGGTACAATGGAGAGGGGAATGCCAGACACAGGGAGTATGAGGAGGAGTAAGATATCTGGGGATAAGGTGCTTTGCGGTGGAGTCAGAGTCATGCTGGCTGTCAGTTGGTTCTTAAAGCAGTGGGTGAGCTGAAAATAACTTTATAATAATTTTTGTCTGCTAGCGTCTTACACAGCCATGTGTGCAGGAAATCACTACATTGGTCTCGTCCTATTCAACGGCACCAGATGGAGGGCTTTGCTCATTCTAGTATTTCTTGTTACTCTGGCACACCAACAAGGCATTTCAAAATACTCACAAAAGAAGAAGAGATTTGATGTTTCCCTCTCTCTCATCCAATATTTCTTATTTATACATAAATAAGAAATATTGCAGCGTGCGCCGATCTGTCATTCTTTTCTAAATCATTTTACTTTGAAAGACATTTATTTTAAAAGAACACTACTGTACTCTCCATTGGAGTTTGCATCCCCAGGAGCCTAAATGGCTGCACAGACATGAGCGTGCTCCATCTTTTGTATCTGGTCTCCATTGAGACATGCACTGAATTTCAAAGGCAGAACAGTGTGTATAGCAAGGAATAAAGGACCAATGGGATCTATTGTTCCTTGGACTATTGTTCCACTGCATTAAGAAGTTCCCTCAGTCCTCTCCCCTGCCCTCGGGGCCACATTACTATAATGACAACATGAACCTTGGTATCTGAGCACCATACCGATGATTTTTTTTAAAAAGTCAAAAACCAGTGTAGTATCATTAGCAGTCAAGTAGAGCGTGATGGATTGAAAACACTGACGGATAACTTCCATTATGGAGGTAGAGCAAGCAGAAATAGAGAGGGTATAAAGACTTTTTTTTTTTTAAAAACCCTCCTACTTCTGAGGCATTACAGGAGAATTGAGAACATTAATAATAAGAACTGCTTCATCTTCTACACCCCCCCTCCTTTCCCTCTTTCTTTCTCATCCAGCTCCACCCCCTCACAATCTCCCCCACCCTCCCCAATCTCTCCGACTCTCGTTCATCCTCTCTCGCCACGCTTCACATCTCATTCTGATCAATGTCTTCTCCAGAGAACCTGGCTGAATTCAGATGAAAAGCTCCGCGCTCTCCTCACAAATCACACCTGAAAGCCCCGGCTACCTCACCACTTACACATCTTTCTCTCCCTCTCTGCTTTCCTCATCCTGGAAACTTATTAGTACACTTGCAAATCTTTCCATCCTTTGATAGTCACGTGAAACAACAAGAGGTTAACTGAAAAGAACGTGGCTGAGGGCTGAGTGTGGCGAATGACCTGAGCTGACCACCGGGACCACAGCTGGATTCTCACGGTTTTCTCCCTGACAGACACACACATGCAAATCCAAACTAGCTCATCTTTCCCTCCGAGGACACCAGTTCAGCTCTCTGTGCTGTGAAATGCATACAATTCAACGTCTATGGTTCAGGCTCTCTCAAACACACACATGCACACACACAGGTCCCCTACTTCCATTCAGACTTCTGAAACGTGAAATGAGGTCTGACTGAAGCCAGCGA